CCCCCTCCCCCTCTTTCTCTCTCCCTCCCTCCTTCCCCTCTCTCTTTCCTTTACTTGTTTCCTTTGAGACAGGGTCTCATTATGTTGTACAGGCTAATCTTAAACTGCCGTGCTCAAGCTATCTTCCTGCCCCAGCCTCTCCAGTAGCTGGGACTACAACTGGGCACCACTGCAACTGGCTTAACCTCTCTGTTCTTAAAATCAGTCCTTGGTCAAACAGGTTTAGGAAATGCACAGTTTAATGGGGGTCACTCTTTTGTGAAATGTTTTCTTTCCTTTTCCTTCTTTCCTTCGTTTTTTAAAAATTCCAGGCTGAAAGTTGAACCCAGGGTCCCATGAGTGCCCTACCACTGATCTACACCTCCAGCTCACTGGGGAAGTTTTAACACACATTCTAAGACTTTATTGGGAGGCTAGTAGCTTTCCCAAAAATGTTTCATCACTTTTTCCTCCAAGGGAACACAGACTGGACAGTGTGGACTCATTTGGGGCTGAGAAGCTACCATGCTTGGGCCCACAATACTTTTAGGGAGCTGATAAAAAGGTTTTCATTTCTTTTAAAGTCAAAAGAAAAACAATGCATATAATCCAACCTGAATACATTTATTTTTATACCAAAGTGGTGGCAAAATATAATTTTTAACAAATTTTATGGGAAAACAACCAAAGTGACTATGATCTACAAAAGTCACAATGTGGCTCTGGGTCTGAAAAACACACTGGAGAGCCTTTTCCTGGCACCCACGGCTGAGCCTGGCAGCTGACCCCATGCACCCATGGGTCCCTGTCTCTCTGGGAATCCAAGAAGGCTAAATCAAGGGCCCAGGAGCCAATCAGCACCTGGGAACAGACCAGAGGACCCTTCCCAGCTCCGCCCACACTCCCAGGGATTAGGCCAATTGGGCACATTTGATACCCAGAGGGTTTCCGCCACCTGGCTGCCTAGCCCTGGGGAAGGGGTGTCGGACATGTCTGTGGGCTCAGACAGGGGGCTGGACCGAGGCCAAGGAGTGATCCCCATATCTTCCTGATGCAGGGAATGGCCTGCCCACCGCAGGGCCCCCCTGGAGGCCAGCAGTGGCTCCTGGTGCTGCTGGTGCTGAGATATCTGCTGCCCGTAGGTAAGGCTCTCCTGTCGGTCATAGGGGAGGAGGGAAACCGGTACCTGAGGACGCAGGCTCATTCTTGGATCATCTTGTCAGCTCCACTGGGGCTCCCTTTCAAGCTTGCACTGCCACACATTTGTCACTTCTTCCATGTCCCTAAATGCCTCACCCAAAGAATCTCTCTCTCCCAATCCTTCTCCCTCTTTATCCTTTCTTATCACTGGGCATCACATTCCACAGTTATTTGTTCACCTGTTGGGTCTCTCCTTTTAGCCTGTGAGCACCGAAGGAATGGGGGCTTGATTTTCTACCTGATATGTCTCCCCTACCTACAATAGTCCTGGCCTCACAGGAAGTACTCATTGAATATTTATATTGGAATCTGGTTCAGTCTGGTTAGGTGGGAAGCATGATGGTCAAATGTTCACCTTGACCTGGGCATAGTGGCACTTGCCTATAATCCCAGCACTCTGGAAGGCTAGGGCAGAAAGATAGCAAGTGTGAACCCAATCTGGACAACTTAGTGACTTAGCAAGACCCTGCCTCAAAACAAAAACAAAACAAAACAAAACAAAGTGGGGGCTGGGGATACAGCTCAGTGCAAAGGCCCCAGGTTGACATGGTCATTCTTAGTCTCAGTTTTCTCCATCTGTAAAATGGATTTAATTATGATAGGCATATCTAGCTCATAAGACATGTTGAGAGAATTCATCATAGCCCATATCATGACTGGCACTTTAAAGAGCTAAAGTGGAAGCAAGCATAGCTTTTGTTAAAAGAAAAACTTCAGACAAATTAAGTTAGCAGAGTTTATATGAGCAAAGAATGATTCATAATTTCAGCAGCAAACCAGACCAAGTTCAGAGAGCTCCACATGGAAGAGGGTGGTCTTGATAGACAGGAAAAGGAAGTGATGCACAGAAACAATCCGATTGGTTATAAGCTCAAGCATTTCCCTTATATGGGCATGGTGTGATAGGCTGGCAGCCTGTGATTGGAAGAAGCTTCAATGCTATGATTGGCTGAGACTCAGCTATTTGTTATAATAATATAGGCTTAAATTAGAATGTAGTTTGCTTTGGTTACAAATTAAATTAGGTTGCAGTTCACAAGGCACAGAAACTGTTTTAAGCAAAATTTAATTAATTTACCACTGCTGTGAAGTGGGAAGGGCCCAGGTATCTTGAAAGCCATGAAGGAGATATTTTCAGTGTAGAACCCAGAAGAAACTTCATTTTCAATGCAGACTTAAGGGCAGGTGTATCATGGGATTTATAATCCCATGAGAATCATAGAGCTATTGGCTGGTCTGATGGACTTATTTTTACAGAGAAAAAAATGGGGCTCAAAGAGGCTCAAGGCTTACCTCAGGCAATGTAGTGGGAAAAGGGGGTCCAGATTCTAGTCTCCTCTCTGTTAACTCAGTCTTACATTTTTCCTGCCTTTCTGGGAAGACCACTCTGTCCACTCAATGGACTTTATTTGTTGACCCCTTGACATGAGCCCCTATAAGCTTTGAGGGCTTGCAGGAAACATAGATGGGAAAATAGAAGCTCAGCTGGAAGAGATGAGGGTTTTCATGTGGTATTAATGTCCTCTGGCTGCCTTAACTGAGTACTGTGGACTGGAGGGCTCCAGCAATGGCTTTCTCAGTTCTGGAGGTTGGAAAATGGAGATGAAGCTGTCAGTAGGTTGGGTTCAGACCATTTTCGTGCCCCTCTCCTAGCCTCTGGTAGGTTTACTGGAGATCTTTTGTATTCTCTAGCTTTTTCCTTTTCTCCTCCTCCTCTTCTTCCTCCTCCTCTTTCTTATTCTTTCTTTGGTTTTCTTTTTCTTTTCTTTTTTCCATACTAGGAATTGAATCCACGGTCTTCACACTGAGCCATATTCCCAGCTCTTTGTCATTTTTTAAATTTTAAAACAGAATCTCTCTAAGGTGCTATATTGCTTGGGCTGGGTTCTAACTTGCAATTATCCTGTTTCAGCCTCTCAGATTTCTGGGACGACAGGCAGGCATGCACTGTCCCCAGACTTTCGATAGCTTTGCCCCAATGCTTGCCTTTATTTTCACATGGGGTTCGCCTTATGCATGTGTGTTTCTAAGGTGCATTTTGTCCTTTTTATAAGATCACTAGTCGTGTTGGACTTGGGTCTCACCCTATTCTAGTGCAATCACCTCTCTCTTTTTTTTGTTTGCCATCCGTAATAATTGTGTTTGTCATGGGTAATTGGTCCATGTACATATTGCATATTAATCATTTTCATTTCCTCTTCTCTGCCTCTCTCTCCTTCCCTTATCTTAACTAGTTACATCTCCATTGACCTCATTTCTAAATAAGGTCTTACTCTCAAAAGTACCGAGGACTAGCACCACAACTTAGGAACTGAATGTTGGGGGAGACAAATTCAGTTCACAGAGGAGATCAGAAGTATTGGTGGCTGAACTGCGGTGGGGTGGATGGGTGGAGAATGGTCTCTTCCTTGAGGAGGTGGTGCTTCAGTTGAGACAAAGAGGCTAGGCAGGCAGAGGAGGTCTTGGATTGACCTGCTTGGTCTCAGGCAGGCAGTGGCAAGATTTCAAAGGATCCCTAATGGAGGAGGTCGTAATTGGCTGCTGGCTGCCCCTCCCCTTCACTTACAAAGAGATATTGAACAAAAGAAGAAATAAATTTTATGAAAACTTTGTCATGGTTTTGAGCTTTGAAAACATATCCGTGGTACGGTGTGAGGTGCAGCCTGTGAAAGGTCAGTACTGTGAGTGGTAAAAGGATTTACCAACAGAGGACAGGAAAGTTATGGTTTCATCCACACACTGTGAGAGAGAATTGGGAAAGTCTAAGACAAGGCCATGCCATCATGGTGAAAGACAGATTCTTTTTAAGGGGTTGAAGATGTGAAACGGGTATGGCATGATCAAACAAGACAAATGTCCCAGGAAGGCGTTCTTTAGGTCGGGGTGCACACTGTTTATCTCACAGGAGCACCAAGATTTTGTCAAGCATTATGCATTAAAGGAGTCCGGATGCTGTGGTCTACTACACTGGTCCTCATGGGAGCCCTTAAGTCTCAAAAGGACATCTGTGCACATCAAATCTGAGAGAAGAGTCACAGCCCATTGGGAAGAAATGTGTTCTGCATCGAAAGCATGCTTGTTATTTACTTGTATGTATAGTTTAGCCTGTCCAGAATATTGTGGTGACTTAATATGTGCCAGTTCAAAGATGCCTGACAGAGCAAAAGGCTAGGTTTACTGTAACTGTCCTGTAGATTAACTAAGATTTCTGACTGTTTATCCACCAAATCAGCCTCCCTGAGAGGGGTTCAGAACACACAGATACTGGTTTGTTATTTTGTCATCATCATTGTTTTGAGGGTATTTCTACTGTTTTATTCATTTTCAAAGATTTATTTTGTTGTGATAAGAATGTGAAACCTGGGATGGGTCCATTTAACCAATGTTTGACTGCACAGCCTATTATGCTCAATTTCAATTTGTTGTTTATTATTGTTGAGATTATTTAAGTGTGTGTTGTTGTAGAATGGATTTCTAGAGCTTATGCATCTTGCTTGACTGCAACTTTATGTCTGCGGATTAGAACTCCCTGCTGCCCCCTTGCCCTCAGCTCCTGGAAACCACTATTCCACTCTTTGACTCTTAAGAATTGGAGTTGTAAATATTTCATGTAGCGGGAATTGTGTGGTATGTGTTTTCCTGTGGCAGGCTTATTTCATTTAATGCTTCCCAGGCTTATCCATGTTGTCACAAGATTGAAGAATTTCCCTCATTTCTGAAGCTGAATCACATCCCATTGTGTGTGCTGCCACATTTTCTTTATCTATTCATCCCCCTAGCCTTTTGGGTTGTTGCTACATCTTGGCTCTGATAAATAATGCTTCTATGAGTGAGGGAGTGCACATATTTCTATTAAGGCTCAGCAAAGCTGCCAGGACAATGCCTGGAACTCACACATTTCCTAATGGAAGTGATAGACAGTGAGACAGGGTTGGAGGACCCTGTTCTGTGGAACTGTTGGACAAAACTGACTAACAGTTAAAAACAGCCTCCATAGGAATAACAGGCTAAGCACAGGACTCAGATGGCTGGATGGCTGGATGGTAGAATCTAGGGCAATTCTATTCAAAAGGGCACTATTCAAAAGAAAGTACCCATCTACCTCTCACCCATTAGGATGGCTATGAAAAAGAAAAACACACAGAGAATAACATGTGTTATTAAGAATGCAAACAAATTGGAAGCCTTGTACACAGTTGAAGGGAGGATATATATAACATGGGGTATCCACTATAGAAAATGGTATGTCAGTTCATCCAAATATTATAAAGAGCATTATGATAGGATCCAGCAATTCTACTTCTGGATGTGTACTCAAAATAATTGAAAGCAGAATCTCAAAGATCCATTTATATATCCATGTTCATAGCTATATTATTCACAAGAGCCCAAACTGGGAGCAATGCCAGTGTCTACTGATGGATGAATGGATACAGACAATGTGATATGGCCACACAATGAAATGTCACTCAGCCCCAAAAAGAAAAGAAATTCTTTCACACGCTGTGAAGTGAGTGAACTGCAAGGACTTTATTATGACCAGTGAAATAAACCAGCCTCAAACAGAACAGATATAATACATAGATTTTACTGCAACTTAGGGGGGGAATGGAATTAATTCAGTTCTGGGATCTGTGGCTAAGCCTTTCATCTCCATTAGTCCCAGCAATGATCCTCCAAAATAAATGTTGTCATACATAATCCTAAATTATCAAAGGGAAGAAGAGGGATTGCCCAGGACCAACAGAATTTGAACCCAGGACAGATAAGGGAGCCCGTTAAAATGATAACAACCAAGTGGGACATCTCTAGCTTCTTAGAACTCAGGCTGGCTGTTCCGATTAGAAAAAAAATGTCAGAAGTAATCTGCACATGTTAGGGAAATTTAATTAAAAACAAAAGTGTTCTCCCAAGCAAAAACAAAACAAAACAAAACAAAAACCTCACCACAAAAATAAAAGAATTGGGGAGAAAACCCCAACAAACTAATTTTGTTGTAGAATGAGCATTATAACAGATCGTGGTGCACGTCACAGATATCCACTAAGAGACTGCAAAGGCCGAGAAATAATCTCATGCCGTTCCAGAGCCAAGAGATACCGCCAAGGGTGCACATGTTCTCTGGGTAAACAGGCACTGGCCCTGGAGCCATAGGATCTGACAGCCCCATTTCTCACAGGGTTCACCAGATTGACCTGGAGGCTGACTGCCAGTTAATTGACTTTAGCCAGAGGAAAAACACATTTTTCATGATGACAGGTGGTCATTTTGCAATTTGAAGCAAGGCAACCATTGAATTTAGGCTTTTACCCTTCCTGGGAAACTGGGAGAGGAGAACTGAGGGCCAGATTTAAAGGTCTTACGCATCCTGACACAGACAACTCCGGGAGATAAGGAGGGAGACACTAGGGAGGGAATTCTGGGTGGTTTACTCTATTTCTGGAATTCAGAGACAGCAAGATTTCACAGGAATGAGGTCTTGGGGATGGAAGAGAAATAAGGGCCTCTTCCATCATCATCATTATTATTATTATTACTACAACTAGATCTTGACCTAGATCCCCCACATACGTATAAAATAGGTCCCAGCCCTTCTGTTTGTTTTCTCAGGTCCTTTGCAGAATGAAACGATCAACACCAGGTGGGCTCCCCCAGCCCCTTCAGCTCGCTGCCTGGCCTCTGCTGTTTCTGGACATTTCAAGCTGATGTGTGCCCCAGGCCCTTGGCCCTAGCTTTCACTCCATCCGTTGTTCTTTCTGGAGCTCTCCCCAGAGTTGCCTACTCCTCTTCATTCCCTGTTGACCAGTTGCTCTCATAAAAAATACTGGAAAAAATATACCCTGATCCAGAATCTGTTGGGTGTTGAAATATCTGAAATTACCCTGCTTGTTAATTGTGGGTCCCCCCTACTCCACTGTATGTTGCATGAGGGTGGCAAGGCGCAAGGTTATGGAGAGTATTGGAGCCAGACAGCATGGGTTCAAATCCCAGCTCAGCTGAGGGACTTGGGGGAGTCTCTGCCCTTCTGTTTCTTCCTCCATAAAATAAGGGAAGGAGAAGAGCCTCTTGAGGTAAAGGAAGCAGGAGGTCCAGAGTAGGGGCTATTTAAGCAGTCGCTGGTTTTGTTGCTGTTATAACAGTAATAATAATCTAATTCTTGGTTTCTACCACAGAATTGAGTTGATATTAGTTAGTAGAAATTTACTGGATGGACGGCAAGCAGGGCAAGGAAGTGTACAGCCCTCTCTAAGCTTGTACCAAAACCAGAGAGCCTGTCAGGGAAAGGGGCAGCCACCTGGAGCTCTTCTACCCCAGTCGCCACCTTCCCAAGTTCAGGGGTCCAGTGTCAGATACAACAGAGCCGAAGGCTGAAAGGCAGCCTGGCCTTGAGGAGCTGGAATCCAGAAAACCAGGTTTAAACCAGCTCAGGCCGACTCGGTTCTCTGCAGCTCAGCAGGAGGCCAGGGCCTGGGCGCACAGCCAGATCACTGTCTGCCAGCCCCTACTTTGTACAACTGACATTCTTGCTTCCCTGTGATGTTTAAGAGGGGGAATAAAAAAAACCTCCCGGCCCTGCTGAGCCTCCTCCCCCTGCCTCTGCCCTCACTGCTTTGTTTTTCCCCAGCTTTCTTGGCCTCCCAGCAGGAAAGGATCTGGAGGGTTCCTCCCTGCTGCTGCAGGCCAGGTGAGCAGCCCTGTTTGATCAGCGTTAGTGAGTGTGAGGGCTGCTCAGCCTCAGCCAGCACCAGGCCTGCCCGGAAACCCTCCAGAGACTCCTGGCCTCCAGCGCTGCAGGGCTCA